GAGAATTTGAGAGAATTTAGAGTATTGAGAAAATTTGAGAGAAGAGAATTGAGAGTATTGAGAGAATTGAGATTTGAGAGTATTGAGAGAATATGAGAGAATTTTAGAGAATTTATAAGAAAAAAATGAGAAGAAAATTTAGGATAAAAAAAAAAGCTAGATAACCGTTGCAATTACAACGGTTATCTTTTTAATTTTTTTAAATTTTAAATTTTATTTTTTGACTTTTGCGATTTTGCCCGTTGCCAAGGCAACCTGCAAAGGCTGCCCTGGCAACGGGCCACAGCAGGGCCTGCAGACGTGCAGGCCCTGCTGTAGGGTTTTTTTATTTATTTTTATTTTATTTTATTTTTTTAATTTTTTTTTGGGAACTGGGCCTGGAACCGCCTGTTCCGGGCCGGTTCCAAACCGCGGGCCGGTCAACGGTCCGGGCCCGGGTTTGACCGGGCCGGTTCCGGGCCGAAACCGGCCCGTGGCCATGACTACCTGAGTGTTCATGGACAAAGACTCCACCTGAGTGTTCAGTTCTACTTATCCTGAGTGTTCATGGACAAAGATCTTTCTTTGATCCAACTTATCCCACTACCCTATGAGCTCTTTCTTGGAAGTGGAAATGAATTGGACATCGGCTCTCCCCATTGTATATAGATTGAGACTAACGACCAACCTAATTTGCCATGAACCAACAAAAGGAAGTAAATAAATTGCGTAACAACAGAGATAAAAGGCTTACTCAATCGAGAACCATGGCAAACACAAGGACATGTGTATGAAAAGTGAGTCTCGATTTCTATCTAGACAGTTTAACAAGGTGAAGCTAAGACGGTGATTTGACCGTCGCAGTCTCGCGTTGGTGTTAGGCCCTCTTAACTCCGGCTCAGTCGAAAGAGATATCCTATAGTCACGCGGTCTCGCGGACAAGGATAAACACTTACGACATCAAGAGAGAATTTTCGGAGAAAAGAAATGCAACCTTTACATCGCAGTCTCGCGTTCGAGATTGTATCTTTCTTAACACCATCTTAAAGTATCCTATCACGGCCCAGGTCCGGTAGCATGGTTGTGTGTGCAACAGGTAGTGCTAAAACATTTAAAGCATGCATAACAATTTATAAACAAATAACGCTTTAAGAGTTCGAAAAAATAAACATTCATTCCCAAACACCAAACCCACAAAACAAGGGGTCAACAATCACTTATTACCTTATAACTCCTAGCTGCAAGAACATTCACATTAGGGGCATAATTGAACAAGATAAACGGCCTAAGTCCATTAAGAATTCTATTCAAGTCCCTAGCGGAGTCACCAAGCTGTCGCGACCTCCCCGAATCGGCCCCGTCGCCTAAGTGGTTTGACTAATGGATTGCTAAGTCTAAACCTAGCTCGGGCTCTCCCGAGCCCATACCAACTCGCGACTTAAGGTTTAAGTTGTTAACATGCAAATCAATTTCATCTAGAAGTCATCACTAATCAGTTTTTGATGGGTCGATTAGATACCCAAGTAAAGCATGGGAGAACTGCTTCACTTCTATGAACTAGAGAATCAATCGGTATGGAGACTTGATTACACTAATTGATCAACTAGTGCACTTTCGGTACCTAACCTTGTTCAATCACCACCTAACGTGTTCACACTAATTGGGAGTCTCAAAATTCGATTCCTAACCAAGCTAGGGGAAGCAACAATCAACACATAGACCTAACATGCATAATCAACCACATGCAAGGTTAAATTAAACACGTAATTCAAAGTGTGTGAACCAAGCAACGTGCAATCAAACATAACACTAATCGCACAATAGGGCAAGAAAAGCCAATTCCAAAGCCCAAATAATATTTTTTGATTTTTGAAATTTTTAAAATTTTTTAAATATTAAAATAATATAACACGGACCCAAGTTGGACCTCCACATCCGACCCAGATTGAGACTGACCCGGGAGCGCTGGACCGGATTGAGACTGACTCGGGCGCGCCAGCCCGGGTCCACAACTAAATTGAGCTCATTTATTGAGCCTGGTCTGGCAAAATTTTTTTTTTTTAAAGGGAAAGAGCCTTGCTCGAATTTAAAAAAAAAAAAAACAAAAGCCCAAAGCCCAACAAGAAAATAAAACCTCAAAGCCCTAAATACATCGGCCCACAACTTATTTCGGCCCATTCAAACGAAACCCTAGAGCCAAACCCTACCTAGTTACGACCCGTTTGACCGACCCGGTTTGCAGCCACAGACCCGACTCGCACAAAACCCTAGTGCCCGCGACTTAAACGCCAGCCGTCACTCCGCCTTTGCCGGCCGGCGCCGGCTCCTTTAAGCCGCGGCCAACGCTTTGCCTTGGTCCACATCGCCACCCCGACGAGGAGCGGCGAGCGTCCTCCACCTGGGTCACCGCCATGGTGACTGGCGACCGACCGAGGCCGTCCATGCCCCGACGAAGGGTTGAATAGCCGCGAACCAGCCAGGTCCCGGCGAGGGACTAATTGGTCGCTTCCTCCCGCGGTCACGCCTGGACAGTGGCTCGAACCGCGAACCTCCTCCGCCACCCGAACCACAAGCCAGAGACTGTACTGAGCCAACCAAGCCCCGACGAGAGGCTGGATGGCCGCGTACCAACCAAGTCCTGACGGGGGACTGGCCAAGCTAAACCCTTACTCGTGTATCGATGAACGAGGATCATCCTCGTTCGTCGGCGACACACCAAAACTTCCGCACTAAGCTCAGCGAGCAACCAGGACACCGCAAGGGAAGGGAGAAACAGCAAGGCTCGGAAACGCATCACACGCAAAAGAAAACGACGCACGGATTTCACTTAGGCAAAGCACCGAATAGCTGGGGCACACGACGAAAACGAGAGATTTCCGATTCGATCGAGGCTCAAACGCACCCGAAATTCACACATAAAAACGCATAGACAAACAGGATCAAGCTGGAGGTGTCATGGGCCGGAACTCGTGCGAGTCGGATGGCCACGAGCTCCGGCCAGTGAGCCCGAAAAACAAGGGACGCAGACTAGAAACAGGGGAAGGAGGGGCGGCCGTTTGCGGCACTCCCTATCCGGCTTGGCGGCGGTGAACGCGATAGATCAGACTATGTCCGATCGCCTCGCACACCTCCGAGCCGGAATCCTCGGGAAATCGACCCCGAATCAAGCAAAATAAAACCCGGCGAGAGCTCAAGCCAGGACCTACCGCGAGGAATGGGGCGTGCTGGAGCTTCGCCGGCCACGGTTGAGGCGTGGCGGTCACCGACAGGAGATTGTTCACCCTCGAATCTCGCTCTTCAACGCTCTCGGCCTCACTCTCTCTGTGGGATCTCTCTCTCTCTATTCTCTCCCCACCCGTTCTCTCTCGGTTCCATTCAGCTTTAAGGGCCACGGCAGGTGCGCATAGCTTCCTGCCACCGCCAACTGCTGTGGCCGGCCTGATCCCAACCCGAGGATCACACCGGCCTGCCCCTTCTGCCTCTCTGTTTCTGCTTCGTCCTCTCCCCTGTACCAGCGACGTTGGGGGGAAGAAGGTGAAGAGTCGCGGGCCGTGCCAAGGGGAAAAGGGGCCGGCCCGCGTGGGAAAATAAGAAAAAGAAGAATGGACCGGCTGGCCCGGTCCGTTCGAATCGGGTTGAACCTGCCCGAAAACCTCCCTTTTTTTTTTGAAAATTAATTTTTCAAATTTAATTAAATTTTTTTCCAACGAATATGTTCTAATAAACCCTATTAATGCAAATGCACCTAATGTCTATATGCCATGCAATTTCTACGAAAATATTTTGGTTTAGGGGTTAAAAATTAAATCCTAATTTTCTATGCGATAAAACCCTAAATGATTAGGCAAAATTTAGGTGTCAACACCCATTAAATCGAACTTGAGAAATACAACATCATGATGGAGAAAAATTAAAGAGTTGAGAGTAATGGAACAACTGCATAAAGTTATTGACTTGGAATAAAAAAACATAGCAACCCATTCTTGCAAAATGAAATTAGAAAGCATGTCATCCTATCTAATCAATCGGCCAACATAATTTAAACAAGTTATATGGGTCATCTTCCGAAATTGGAAGCGTTTAAAGATAAAAGAGAGAGAGAGAAAATCAAGGACTTCACAAATTGAACTCATTTTGTTTAGTCTTTGGTCTCAATTTGATGTATTTCCAAATTTGAACCTGTCCTATATCCTACTAATTTTTTTTTATATTTCGTCGCATTAAGTTATTCTCTAAATTTCATTTGCATTTCAAATGAAATCATTGATTTGGATCAAGACATATGTATTTTTTTTCGTATGAACTTGGTGCCTTTTGATGAAAAGATGGCATTCACCAATTAAATTTCTTAAAAACTCATGTCTTTTTATTATTATTATCATTGTGGTTGATAAGTGATTCTTTTAGTAGTTTGGAGTTGAATGAAATTTCTCCAAATTAAAATGCAGAACCATAAGCAGGCCCAACACAATTGACCACGAAGGTGACCCTTGTCAATGGGACGACAGTTGTAAATGAAGCAAGAATAGTCCATTTTGCTTTTTGTCTTGACTTGATTTTTACTATCCCAATCATTAAATTATCTAGATAATTATAACAAAATCGTGTGTCGTCCGAATATTTCATTATAAACAGATTTTTCGTGCTACATATGTACGTATGTATGCATTTGTCTTTATCTATAAGTTCGTAGGCGTTTGTTTAGCTTTGTCCCAACATATTGGTATTTCCTCCAATAAACCTCTCTGCGGACTTGGCCAAGTCCTCTTCTCTGTACTATTGCATGCTTTGTTTGTCCATTCCCTCCCCGTGATGCTAGCTTCGGCAATCTCAATCCCTTCGCTCTCTTAGGAAACATAAAGAGCACGTGACTACGCAAATGCGTATGCGATTCGGCGGATTCACGACAAATATCAGATTTGATTTCGTTTTCGGAGTTTCGATAAGTTTTGATTTGGGCTACTAAAATGCAAAGTTCTTCCGGGTGCAAATTGTGAAGAGAACACACTTTGCCTAATCTAAAAGAAAAACTCAAAATGTGAAAATGCATATATGCATTCTAAAGCTTGCAAGAAGTACCAATGGCAGATGGGGCACCACCTCACTTCTTCTACCCGTCATTTTGTGGCCAGAGCGGATATGTATAAGACCATTTCTTCTAAATTCAAATCCCTCTTTCAATTCTTTTGCAAGCAGAATCAATCTGTCGTACCGGTAAATGTAGAAGCAACCGAGTCATCTCTCAAGCGAAACAAGGCTCTCCACGATAGTGACCAGATCATATTCCGTCCATAGCGGAAGATTTGTGAATTGGCTTGTAATTGGATTCCAAGAAACTCGTTCTCCACCATCTAGTTCCATCAGAAGCTCGCCATTCCTCGTGAAGCCATCAAATCCTGCTACTACTCCACAAGCCTTGAAAGTATACAGCTTAGTCCAAGACCGAGGCACGCCGTACTCCCTCATAACCCAAACAGAACAAACGGAATGCAGTTCGGGATCCACAGCTGCGTTTATGAAACTGATGAACACAGCCAGCAAGTCATTTAAAACTGCCAGAGACATCACCAAAGCGACAGAGTCTGCGTGAGAAATCTCTTCCGGCGGCAGAGCCATTTCATCAAACACCTCACCGGCAACATCGAACAAGACTATTGATCCGTACCCACCCTCCTCCTCCCCCAGATCACCGAACTTGGAAGCAAACCAGTGCAGATTCCCATTCAAGAAGACCGCCCGGTCGTCTTGACAGAGAGCAGGAACCTCACACGCCAAGCTTCTCCACGAATCTGCGCGGAGTGAATAAATCTCGACCCAAGGCTCCGTCCCACCAGAGCATCGGCCATTATCATCTAAAACATAGAGAATCCTCACAATCTTATAGTCATTCGACCTAGCGTCGATGCCAAACCCTAGAGCTTCATGAGGAGTCTCCATGAAAGAAATTTGAGGCTCCGGACCGGATGGTCGAACCGCCCTGTGCTTCCTGGTGAACAGATTCCACAGATACATCGTCCGACCAAAGCCATCGCCGGAAATTTCCGCGACGCAGATCAGACCATCGCACGAACCGACGATCAGGCAACAGTCGGGAGGAGTAACGAACGGGATTGCGATTTGCGACCGGGGAGGGAGGGTGAGAGACCCCTCGGAGAACAGAGAGCACAGGTTCTGGACAGGATCCCGCCAATCTAGGCAGGCGGTGTGCCAATTGGAGGCATCGAGAGCGGAGTGGCGCAAGTGGAGGGCCGCGAAATCAGGGTCGTCGACGGCGGAGCGCCACGACCGGCAGACGCACCTGCATCGGAGGACAGATTCCACCGGCAACCGCTTCAGGATCTCGGCGACGACGTCTTGAGGGAGCTTCGGGCCGCCGTCGCCGTCGCCGTCGCCGTCGCCGTCGCCGTCGCCGTCGCCGTCGCCGTCGCCGTCGCCGTCGCCGTCGCCGGAGGAGGAGGAACTCATGGTCGGAGAGGGTTGAGAAGAAGGGCGGCGAAGTAGAAAGCTGGAAAGAATTTGCTGCGGTGCTGGCCGTCGCGGTCCCCTTTATCTCCCTCTCTTCTTTGTCACGCGAAATCCACGTGACGCGGCACGGTTTCGTCACGTGACTCGACGCGGAAGTTTTCTAATGCGCGCTCTCTACTAAAAGTTTTTGTAGAGCGGGGCAGGGCTCCGGATTTATGTGGTTGATTTCCCCGTTTTTTGAACCGGAAACCCCGTTGACCCTGATCGCATATCGACTAATTTTAGGGTCGACCTAAGAACTAGACGGAGCTATTTTTTTTTCCCGTTTGGTTATATTTTTTGAAAAATCTACATTGTGGCATGTATGAAATTATAGTTTTTTTTTTCTTTTTCAGAATAATTTGTCAAATATAATCAATTTCTATAAATATTTTCGTTTCCAAAGGAAAGAACCCACTCCAAATAATCCTCGAAATCGGGCAAGGAAGGTGAGAGTCCAAGAGAGAGAGAGGCGGCAAGAGTGAAGCTTCTCGATCACAAAACTCAAGACTAAACCGACGAAGAAAATTATGATTTAAACAAGTTGTATGGGTCATCTTACCAAAACTACGATTGTCTAATCTGTTTATATTTTTTTTTATCTCTATGGCCGCGTTTGGTCGACCGGATAAAAGCCAGGATAGGATATATTTTATCATATCCTGTGTTTGGTGGTGGTCCAGGATAAGATAAGGTCGGATATAGACCGGATATAGCCCGGATAAAAAAATCCGAGGGGAGAGGTGGGATAAACCCGGATAGGATTTCTAATGCCTATTTTTCTAGAAACCCTATGCTCCACTCGCCGTCATCTTCATCCCCACACCTTGTGCACTTTCACCAAAAAATTTCTCGGGTTTTTTTCCTTCACTGACTCTTCCGGACCCGTGAATAGAAAAAAAAAATTATCATATCCAACTTTAAATCCGTAGTCCACCAAACAGTGGATAGGATATGAAGAAATCCCATGATTTCTTATCCTATCCTATCCAGTCCTATCCTGTTTAGAAATCCGGACAACCAAACGCAGCCTATAAGTTATTTGCTAAAAGTCATCTGCATTTGAACTAGAATCAATGCTTCGCATCAAATCACATATAATTTCTTTGTATGAATTTCCAAAGGTTCTTTTTGATGAAAGGATGACATTGACAAGTTAAACTTTATCATTTGTTTATGATTTCATTGTTTGGGCATTATGTTAATTAAATAGAGTCGAAATAAAATTAAAATGTCCGGTTTGAGTTGAAATGTAGTCCATGCCGAACCACAAGCACGCCCAACGTAATTGAGCACGATAGTCAAAATAGCTTGGAAGAAGGAAAAATAGTGATAGTAAAATTGTCAACCTAAATAAATAGGGGTTTTGATTTTTTTCTTGATTTGTTGTTGTTATGCCCGTCATTAAATCAGTTAGATAAATAAGCACACCATAGTGTACAGTCTGAATATCTCATTTTAAACAGATTATTTGTTCATGTATTCACGTATGTATGCATTTGTCTTCTTCTTTTTTTTTTTTAGGTATGTAGGATTTGTTTAGGTTTATTACAATTTTCACACTCGTCCGCACGAGTATCAATGTATATTTTAGGTGGAATTTAGCAATTACTTTATTATTTTAAGGACTATTCGTACAAATATTGTTAATTCAATTCATACATTCTTAAAGCAAATGAGCTATAACCTAAATTAGTAGTCTCCAAATCATCAAACGATCAAACACATATGCACGCAGATGACAATGTGCCGTGCTGGACGCAAAAATCTAGCTCGTTAGGTGAGGTAAAAGTTTTGCCTAAAAAGGAAGATATATGAATTTTATATGAAATCTCATATAATTTAGTACATAGTTAATATATAGTAAAACATACATCAAGCATATCGGTATTTCCTCCAATAAGCTCTCATTGCCCTCTATCCGTCAATTAGGTTGATTTGCTTACATATTACTCATAGAAAATACACCAAGCACGAGCTAGCCAAGGGTGCGATAACCCCGCCAGCCCCTTTCAATTGGTCAATGGCAATGTCCTAACGGCAAATCTAAATTCTCTTAATATGTAAAATTAACATAATAAATTAGGTAAAGGAGAACTGCAATTCTTTTTTCAGTTAAGAGTAAGTTTATACATTGCATCATCAACCTCACGAAACAAGAGGGTCATAGGATGGAATATTTCCACGAGCAGCCCAAAGGGATAGAGACAACCGTTACAAGCTGTGTTGAGAAAATCTCCTATTAAATTTTGAAACTGACAAAATTATCCATATTTTGATTTGAATATGATAATAGTATAGTAGTGTTTTTGTAACAAGAACTACTTATTAAAAGAAGTTCATTCATAGTCAAGCTGTTGCTGTTTGAATTTGCGGCTATGAAGAAATATCTATATTGATTTCGATATTATACCTTGTGTTGTTCAAATGACATGGATAAAGATGGCTATTGCTTGGATATCTTCTGAAAAACAGGATGGATATTGGTCTATCTTATACGCAGATGAATTTGATTACTTTAGGCTCTATGCTATAACTAGACATCATCAGACGCATGAAAATATATTCAGATGCAAAACTTCAACCATCACAACTAGTGATCTAGTCTGGATTTCCAAATTAGAAAGTATTGATATTCGATCTTAAAGATTGTTTTGCAACAAAATCTTTCATGCAAGACATCTATGATTGATTGACAATCACTTCATAGACAAGTTACTTCCCTAAATCGAAGAACTTCACTCATGGAAACTGGAGATTTGATTGTATGGGTGACCAAATCAACGGGGATTCAGATGTTATCTCTCAAAGGCTACTCAATCTCCATTACGTAATCTCATTGAACGAGTTGATTGGAGAATGATTATCTGAAGACTATCCAATGGGTAGGTTGGAAGTGAGGAATATAAAAGGAGACAGAAGTGCTGAAGAGAAAAGAGAGGTTCATAATAAAAATTTCCAAAGTCCGAGAGTACTTCCATACTTGTCTTTCGTGAGCTATAAAATTGTAATCTTTGAGAGACCCTGAAAAGAGTGATTAAGCGAGATAGTGAGATCTATCATACACTAAAGATTATTACTCATGGTTGTAATCTCTTATTGATTATCTAATGAAATCCAATCAATATACTGTTAGCGTGGCAGAAGGGACACAGACTTGATCTAAGCCGAACCACTATAAATTGTGACATCCCGAATTTAGACTCACTTGGAATTTATGAAGTGAGTGATATCTTTAACGCACTTGTAGTTGTACCTTGCCCAGAGCTGATCACTCTTGGGATACTAACCTTTAGGGTAAGGCTAAATAGGGATTTAAGTTCGCGAGACCAAAGAAATTCTATCATGGACTGACTTTCGACCATAAGGATTGTCGAGGTGATATTTTGGGCCAACATAGGTTGATCCAAGGATGGTCACGGATCGATTCGCCAATGTCATACGAATGGGTCGTGGGTGATTCCGCTCGATCATGAGATGAATTACGAACGATCTTAAACCTATTCCGAACGATCACACCTCTCGGAACTAGTGATTAATCCTCCCAATTACATGACAACCGAAGTCGCCATAATTCGAGTGATCTTAAATGTGGCTCAACTTAGTGTCGACCACGGGTCAATTCGCGTATTGCCCATGTCACACCCCGAACCCCAACGGGCTCGCGACATCCCTTCAACGGTCGTATTGAACGCGACGTCCCAAGACGCGTCGCCGACCCAAACGAACTACGCAAGCGGAAGCAAAATAAGACAACCCAGACAACTAACATGACGACAAAAGGATAGCACGAAACAATAATTGTATAACGTCATAAAGCAGTCACTATTACAAAACGATAACCCGGGCTACCAATTTCAAACCACAATTTTCAAAAGGGGGCGGTGGTTGACAAGCTTATCTCCTCTACAAAAAGGTACCCAAAAGACAGGGTAATTTGATCTATCCTTCAATCCCTGTGGTACTCTGGCGGCATCTCGGAATCGATCACGGTCGCAGATCTGAAAGTGGTTATATAATAACCGTGAGAACGAGTCTCAATAAGCAACACCCTAAACCCCACCTAGGCCAATGCGTACCCAGACAAGTCTCAACATGCAATCTAACAGATAAAATATATATAATTCACATCAATGGACTTACCTCACCATCCAATCACATGCCCCCACTACACATTAGTCAAATCATGATAATGAAATAATATTCCAATAATATAACCCAATCATTCGAGCACCATCCACACTCGCACCCAACCAATCCAACCAAACATCCACACGTACCATCAATTAATCCAATCAAATATCCACACGTACCATCAATCAATCCAATCAAATATCCACACGTACTTTAAGCCAATCCAACCAATCACATTTCGCACACGTGCCCAACCAACCATCTCACGACCCGCGCCACTGCGCCTCAAGTCCATTCTCACGGCCCGTGCCAATGCACCTCAGGCTCAGCCCTCCGATCAATTCGGGCTCTGTCCCTCACTGGACATCTCGCACTTTCTCACGACCCGCGTAAACACGCCTCAGGTCTGACTTTCCTTTCACGGACCACCGTCAACACGTCTCAAGTCCGTTCTCACAAGCACACAAGCCACACAATTCAATCAATTCCAATGGCCGCCGTCAACACGTCCCAAGCCAAACTTTCCTTTCACGGACCACCGTCAACACGTCTCAAGTCCGTAGCCCTCCGATCAATCCGGGCTCAATTCTAATGATTGACGTAAACACGTCCCGGTCCAACACACCTTTAACGGGCCACCGTCAACACGTTTCAAGCCCGCATCCATTTGGCACACCGGCCATTCATGCCTTCACACGGACCGCCGTCAACACATCCCAAGTCCGTAGCCCTCCGATCAATCCGGGCTTATAA